CCTTACAGCTCAGCAGCAGAAGCATAAATATTCCTGTTAAGAAAGCTGATGATAAAGCTGAATAAAAATCTAAGTCTGATTCTGTAGTGAAATTAAATATCTGACAGTGATCGTTACACAGTGTGGCTCTAATTCCTCACTTCACCATCTGTGTCGCAGTTTCACGTCTCTAAAATGAGCGTACGCATGGGTCAAAGCTGGCGTGAGGGACCGCACATTTTCACGTCAAGTTTGGATTTTATAAATCACAACCTTGGCGTAAAAAGTGGCGTACGCAAGTTTCTGGGCTCAAATTGTGCGTACGCCAGTTTTATAAATCCGACCCCAGATCGTAATGGAACGACACAAAAAACACGCTAATCGTCGACAATAAGGAATATAAAACGGATGAATGGTGCGATTACTTGGGAGGGCAGAGGTTCTCCTCCAGGAACTCCTCGATCTTGTTGGTGTCAGTTTTCACCTCGCTGCCCCACAGAAGGAAAGGAGGCTGAGCTCCCGGTGCCAGGTCCTTCAGGATATCTGGTTTCCTGCAAGAAAGAAGAATGAGGACAAAAAAAACTGAAATTTTAACACCTACGACGGCAAAGTGTTTTAACTGGACGTTTTTAAAAACAGAGACTTTGTGTTTTCACCTCTTCATGTCCACCGTCGTAACGTCAAAGACGACTCCTTTCAGCCACAGAACCATGAAGAGGCGCTGAGAGAACGGACAGTTGCCGATGCTCTGACCGTCACTCCCTGCCTGAAAAACAACAAAAACAGGTTGTTTTGTGGATCTGAAAATGTGGCACAGATTTAACCACTGTGCTGGCAAAGCTGTAGATTAACACATATTTTTTATTCAAATATGTCTGAGTTACTTTGCTAACGCTACGTACAAACAAATCCACAATGTTTGAAATCATTAACAGGATGTAAAAAGGTAAGAAAAGCCTCCGGCAGGAGATTTTAGCTACGTGATCATGACATTTTTCTGGTATTGCTGCTGCTGCCCCTTCAGGGCTCGGTTTAATGTGACACAGCTGCAATGAGGATCTCCACTTTCAATCTGTCAACCTGGTTGTCTCTGAGAAAAAGACAGAACGGCTCCTCTCTGCTGAAACGTCTATCTTATGAGACACTAAAGAATTACTGGCACATTGGGTGAAGCTTCGGCAGAATCTGAACTGCACCTGAATGGTATCGAATAACCCAAGGTAAGAAGGAAAACTCTGGATTTACTGGTTGGCCTAGGCCTCCCACTCCTAAATAACCATGAACYTTTGGGAGATCTCTATAGCATCAATAAGAACTGGTCGATTACTGAATCACACAAGTTAACGATCCGAATCCTCAACTGATGAGTCTGAGGTCTCAACTAACCCAGATCCTAAGTGTCCTCTGAACAGACCTKTCAGAACAGCTGTGACCTCAGAAATGCTGCAGACTCAGGCCCTGTTTACACAACAATCTCTGGAACGTTCACATTTTTTCCATTGTTGATTGTTTACACTGTAACGCTGTGCTCGTTGGATCCAATGTCGTTTCCACGCCAAGTCACTAGCTGGCACTGTGATTTTTAAAAAAGATTTTAACGAGACGGTTGTGTGCACAAGTTGAGCACGAGAACACCTACGTTCAAAATGGTGAACTCAAACATCTTTCATTTGGACTGAAGATGAAGTCCAGTCGCTCAAAAAGCTTCGGTTTCACAGAAAACCACAGAAACGCTAAGTTTTATTCCTCAAAACTGTGTCACGGGTTTCAGATGTTGATTTGGGTTAAAGAAAAATAAGATATTTTGCCAACACGACACACAAACTGAAGCAAAAACATTATCGCGGAAGTGATGAAAACAAGAACATGCAGCTTTAAAGAGATTTATTTTTATAAAAACATCATCGTATTCCTGCACTAATCTGATTTAGTTCCACTTTTAACCTGTAAGAAAATAAAAGCTCCCATAATGACTTCTGTAAGCATGAGTTTAGGGAAGTTACAACAAACAGGAGAGAAGAAAGGCGGTTCAGAAGTTCACATAGAGGACTCATTATGTGAAGGAAGAGGCAGACATATTTTACAGACAGCAGCGTGTTTTCAGCGCAGAGAAAACTGGATTAAACTGCCCGGATCATTTACTAAATATAGGTTAAAGTCGGCTGCTCGTTCGTTAATGTTCACTTAATCAGATTACAGAGGTTTATAAGCTCGGTGGGTCATGAATGACACGAATCTTGTAACGCAAATTGAAATGCTGTTATAGAGGCGWKTTTAATAGTTAAGAGTCATATTTTTTTTTTTTTTTTTTTTTTTTTTTTGCTAGTTTGGGTGCTTACCTTCACGAAAAGTTCGAGCTTGGTTTGACCCTCATCGTCCATATTCTCCAAAAAGCCTTTACGGGAGAAGAAAGACAAGAAAGGAGTGATGAAAAAGTAATCATACGGAGTTCAAATGTAAGAAAATGTAAGCTAACTGGCCGCAGCCCTGCCCATCTTCCGCTATAAAACTTTAAACCCACAAACTGAGCGCTTTCACGAAACGGAAACGAGTCGAAAAGCGACAGAAAACTCTAAAAGTTGTTGAAAATATCATCACATTTTAAGTATTTGGAAGCTCTAACCTTAAAGCGCAGAAAGTTTGGTGCCGCTAGTTTCCTCTCCTCCTCCCAGTTCAGCTAAGCTACAGCATCATCATCATCATCATCATCATCATGAGCAGCTTGTCCACTTCCTGGTGTCGCGTGACTTCAGTCCTCAGCGAAGAAGAAGAAGAAGAAGCAGAGAAGAAGAAAAAGGATTAAATTCAGAGTTAGCATTAGCCAAAGCAAAGTCTCGTTGCAAGAATGTTTTTACTGTGAGTTAGTAAAAAATCTCACAAACCAATTGGGAGATTTTTAATGAAACTCACCGGAAGTAATCATCAAATGAAGATCCAATATGGCAGCCACAACCAAACAACTTTCAAAAATTAAACACATAATTAAATATGTCTAACTTAATTATTTCAAAAAAACCTGATTAATATCAACTATATTGGCCCCTAATCAATCATCTCTTATTGTATAAGTTTTGTTACAACATCTACAGCTGATTAACTTTCGAAGTAAGTCCAGTTCAAGATGGCCGGCACGGCGTTTCACTATAACCAACACAAAATTGGTTAAAACTCAGCCAATTTAACGTTGAATTATTGAGTTAAAGTTTGGTGTAGAGCAGAGCGCCTCACATTGCACAAACTACTTTTTTTCTTTAAAACTATATGCAAAATATGTTCCCTTCAGATGTTATGGAAATGCAGTTTTTATCCAGATTTAATTAAGCTTTGCATCATGTCTAAATGCCTTGAAATTGGCCTCTGTCTCGCTAAGAACCTCCTACTGTTTCTGACGCTCCCACTTCAGCACTAGAGACGTGACGTTCGCGAATGATCCGAATCTTTTGAACGGCTCTTTGCAACGAACGATAGGAGCCGAATCGCGGGAAGTAACGAGCCATTTGTAGTTTTATTTCTTTTATTCCTCRTATAATCTTTATTTTTCGTAATCGCTCCCGCTTTGCTTTTTCATGGAAAACAGGCGGAGTTGTGGAGTACAAAAGCTCACAGTGAAAGGGAAGAGGGGGGTTTCCACTTGAAAAACACATGGTACATCACACTTGATGGGATTATGTCATTGCGTACGGCTACGTGATGACGTATTTCCCTACGTGATGACGCATTTCCCTACGTGATGACGTATTTCCCTACGTGATGACGTAATATGTTCAAAACCGAACAGCTCTAAAAGGATCCCCAAGATCCRGATCCCTTCAAAGAGCCGTTTATCCCATCTCTATTCAGCACGTCTTTGTAACAATTTTTTGGGGGACTGTTGACAAGGAGTTTGGCTGCAGACTGCGACTCAAGGGAGGGGCTATGTACAAATGGGCGGATCTTTGTACCAGCAAGCATTTAGACAGCTCTAAATAGCTACTAGGAGATTCAAGGATTTCTCAAACATGCATGAATGAGTCAAAGCAACACTCTGGGTATGTTTTTGACAAGGGAATGATATTATAACATGATGTAAAGTTCAAATAAGTTGGTTTTGTATAATACCACCCCTTTAAAAAAACTTTCAAAATGTAATCATATCCTGTCCATCCAGGTGTGTTAAACATTACATACATGCATCCAACAGAAAACATACATGCACGCAAAAATAAATAAATATTTTGAAAGACCTTCAAAAGTTATGATTCCAAACCTGTTTCCTCAGAGGAAAGTGATAAAAAAATTGAGGTGTTCTTGTTCTTTAGAAGGTTTGGATTGATTTTATTTAGTAATAATGAACATTAAATAAATATAAATATACCAGATTTGGCCGAATGGCTCCTTTTTATTTGTTCCCCTCGAAGCGATACGAGCTTAGAGGGGAACAAAATGCAAAATGCAAAATCGTAGCGTCAACTAAAATTTAACAAAATTATTTAAATCCTAAAAGTGTAAATACAAAAACACTGCCACAACATGTTTCTAAAAATCTTGTGCATAAATATTTCTGAGAAGCATTTATTAAAAGACGTTTAAAGAATACAAACAGCTTAAAATTAGGTTTAAAACCTTTGAACACTGTGAACCAAATGTTTTACTTTGAAATGCTCTGATCTCATAAACTGTACGTTTGTTGCCCTCTGCAGTCTCAGGGCATGTTGACCCAAACTGTTCTGACTCATCATCCTGCTGGAAAAACTGGTCCTCTGGTCCAGATCCTGCTGGTTGGTTTCTTTAAAACATATAAACTGTGTTCTTTTTTAACCTTTATTGAATTTGATTTGTGGAAAACAAAACATTTGATAGAAAAAACATTTAATGTTTGATATCTATGAAGTGACAGTCAACTTTGGCAAACACAAAATTATCTTTAACTCAGTTTTTTAGATTTTAAGCTCAATTTTGGTGTAGTTGCACTCTAAAAATTAAATGTTGGATTTACTTAACCATGTTATGTGACCTGGTTCCACTTAACTGAGTTGAGTAAATTCAAAGCAATATGCTCATGTTCTTTGGTTAAAAAACTGGTATATTGCGTTGAATTTACTCAAATCAGTTAAGTGGAACCAGGTCACATAACATGGTTGAGTAAATCCAACATTTCATTTTTTACATTGTGAGCACCACACACACAACACAGAACTTCACAGGGGGGAATCTTTGGTTTCAAAATAACTTCGAGACAAAGCAGATTTTTCAGTTCAGTGGACTGTAGCTGAGTGTTTGTCTTTCTGACAGAGTGCAGACATCCAGCTTCTCTTGATGTCTTTTGTTAGCATCGTCAGCGTTGTTTCTGTTGTTTACATATGAAAGCTGATGAAGAAAAGCTTTTGAAACTCTTCAAAAAGCAGAGAAATTGCAAGTCAAAGAAAGAAAAGCTAAAGTCACGTCATTTTTAAATAAAAAAATTAAAAATAAACTTGTCTAAACACTCAAAAACTCAAAATGATGCTTGAATATACAGTATCTAATTTTATTTTTAGTTTAAAGTCAAATAAAAACAGGGCTGTTTATTGTTTTTGTTGTTTTTATTGATTATATTGATTACAATTATAAGTTTATTTTAAAATTAAAGGGTACATTATTATTAATAGCCAATAAATTAGCGTAAACTGTTTAAAGCACTTCAATTTTCTTATGGAAACAAAGTAGTATAAGTAGTTAGCGTTTTTGTTTATTAATAGAGCTTAGAAAGATGCAATAAGTTATACAAATATAAGTACAAATATAAGTAATAATATCATTTGAATATGCTGATAAGCATAAATGGTAATGGTGGACTACAGCTCCCAGAAGCCCCAGAGTGAGGACAGTATGGCTGCGCAGAGGGCGGTGGTCACAGGCAGCTGGACACAGGTGGCGCTGTTGCACAAGTCTGTGCCGTTGCAGCAGGTGAAGCGGGCCGTGTAGGCGGCGGTGAGAAGGGAACCGGTCAAAGTCTTCCCGCACAGGTCCKTGTCCAGGCAGCCGCGGCTGTGCAGTTTCAGGCCCGCAGTGGAGTTGAACTCTGTAACAGCCAAGAAAACAACGACGACAATCGAACAGTAAAAGAAATGAACCGGAAGTCGTCATTGACCTTTTTACAGTCTTAAAGCGGCACTCTAATAAACACAGGTATTTATTTTAATAACAAACTAATATTYTCTTGTTTTTTTATGCCACAACTTGTCCCTTTTGTAGAAAGTTAGATGTGACAAAAATATGTTCATAATGGGGTTCCATACCTGCAAAAAAATGTTAATGTGTTGCTCACTTTGTTCTCATATCATGTTATTAGACCATGTTGTTGAACCTGTTTTCTTCTTGTGTTGTCACAATTAGGCTTGCTCTGCTGTTACAACCTGTCGTTTTTCCGTGTTTTCACGGGACGTCGTCTCCTCTGCTGTTACAACGCCATATGAGCTCCATCTTCCATTGCCATTACTTTTTTCCTAATATTCTGTTGTGTAATGAGACAACACAGATGGACGACAGACTAGAGCAAACCTACTTGTGACAACACAAGAAGAAAACAGGTTATGGTCTAATAACATGACATCAGAACAAAGTTAACAACTCATGAACATGTTTTTGACACATTTATTTAATTGTACAGACAGAACGAAACAACGTTACATGTCAACATCTGTTGAACAACATATTTTTGGCACATATGGAACTCCATATAACTAAGCTAGCATAAAAAATCAACATAGTTTTATACTTTTATGCAGGGGTGGGCATTCCTGGTCCTCGAGGGCCGCAGCCCTACAGGTTTTATGTTTTTCCTGCTCCAACACACCTGATTCAGACATTGAATTACCAAGTTCTGCAGTATGGAGGACCGACACTGACATAACTAGAAAAAAAAGCAGAAATATACAAATGGACCAATAAATAAATTCAATTAAAAATGTGCCAATTAAATTAAAAAAAGAAGAGCTTTACCTCACGTTTTCTAATTTAATTAACCTTCATATTTTATTTTTCCAACTTAGTTCCAACAAATAATATATCTTTGCAC